TGATCGACCCCGATTTGAACGTGTCCTGGGTCCGTGCTCGGATATTCTCAAGCGAAACATCCAGCAGTACAACAGTTTTGTATCGCTGTCTGTCTGAAAACTTCCTATCCAAAACACGCTTCATGAATGCAGACTGCTTTATTACCCTTGTGCAGAGCCACATTGCCACTGGCATTTGCAGCTTCCTGTCTGTTTAAAAAAAGAAAAAAAAAAATTGCTTATCATGGCACTATTTTTAATTTAGAGCATATTAGTTCTGTGCTCTCTGTCCCATTAAATTAATAGAAAAAGTTCTATGGAGACGTTTGCTGTTACGGCTTCTCTCTGTGCAACAGTGTCCAACTCAGGCAAATGCAGCCTTGCTTCAGCGAGGGAGAGATCTCCTGGCACCACGCCACTTGCCATAGAGTAAGAAGGTGACAGTGGGGGGGGGGAGGGGGGATTTTTTTAAAGGTGTTTCTCAAATTGTTGGACAGATTTTAAGGCTGCAGTCATAATCTGCTGTATTTCTTTTCAAATGAGAACTGCCCTTGTAATTGAGCTTCTTGGGGCTTGGGGTTTTCTTTTTTTTTAATTTTCTGGGTACTGTAATCCTGGGTTCAATCGTGAGGCATCAGCTGCTAAGAAAGCCACAGTTGGAATTTAACAGTATAATTGTTCCTATGTCTGCTGGTTTAAGATTGCTTAGTTATGTTTTTGTCAAGTGTAAATCAAAGCTTTCAAGGTTAATAGTTCTGGTGAACTACTGCAGTTGTTACTTAATTTGCTGACTTGCTGCAACTGATTTTTTTTTTCTTGTTCTTTCTTCAGCGATAGATATGCCATTTAAAACTCTTCCTGTTCAAAGTGGCAAGAACCAAACATTACATTAAATGCCTAACTTTGGTCTCTAGTACCTAGATTGGTGTAAGAATGGTGCAGCTGTCCAGCTGTTAGTAATGTTCAAGTACTTAGGTTGGTGTAGAAATTGGAAGTGAACATTTTATTTTCCCTGTGACTCTTGCTTGCTTTGTATTCCTCAGTTGACTTTTTAAAAAATTATCATCAGTTCAGGTGACCCTTTGTTACCAGGGAAAATAAATGTTGAGTATTTATGGCCAGCATCAGTTGCAGGTGGCAAGATTGCTGGTCTATAGAGATGCCATTATTCTTGGTAGAGGATGTGAGGCAGGAAAAAGTGAATGTTTTAACTTTCCTGCCACACTCAGTTATTTTAAGTTTTTTTTTAATCGGTCAATTCATAATTTTTAAAATGGTTAATTATAAATCTAGTTTAAATACAAAAGGTGCATTCTCTTTCCTTGCTTATGGAATTTACATGGCACATATTTCATACTCACTCTTTTTTCCAAGTTCAATATGTTGCGGAGTCTTAAATGTATTTCAGTATTTACCAGCTTTGTGTTCCATTATTCTGTGCGCACCAATACTTCCCAAAAGTTTTTACTGAATTCCACGGTTCAATACTGATAGGCCATTTGTAAGGTTTCCTTTAAACTGTAATTTATATAAAGTAGCGTAGGTTTGTATTTGGGAGTGACAGCAAGCAGTTTTGCATTTGTTGTGCAACTACTTCTAACGATGGAGCCCTCATTTATTTCCTTTCTGAGGTGATACGGATTCAAATTCAATACACTTTCTCCCAGGCATGTAGATAATCAGAAAGAGTCTGCTAATTGATGCAAAATAATACTGAGGGTATCAAGCCTGTACAAAAGGTTTCGGGGTATTTCTGAACCTGAAATCCCAGTAATGGGATTTAAACGCTTGTGGTTTGAGTTCTCTATTCAGAAGAAGTTGAGTAGAGGGTTTCTGCCAGAGTCCTTAAGGAGTAAGCAAATGCTACCTTTTTTTTTTTTTTTTGGTAAAACTGTGTTCTTAAGTTTTGACTCTATCCAGGTTTTTTCTTCATATATGTTCTTTGTGTTCCTTTAAAGCACCAAAAACTGTGTAAACTAGTTAGAGCTCCACAAAAAAAATGCACATTTTTTTTATATAAGGCTTTCTAATCAAGTTTCACTACTGCATCTTTTTAGCTTGCTGTTTACTCCCTTTTGTAGTTTTACCTACAAGATTTTAAGATAAATCAGCTAAGTCTGAGTTAAATATTAATCACAGTTATAGCTTTACCTTTGTGTGCAATTTAAACATGTTTGAAACCACAATTGGCATAGTTTTGCCTTAGCTAACATTCAGGGCTTTAGAAGTAATTTTTTGCTAGTCCACCTTTAGCGAATTTATGAAGTCTATTGCCCTAGAAAGCTATAGTCAACCAGAGGACCATTTTTGTATTGTTACCTGACTATATAAGTCTGATTTACTGTATGTGCTAATATATTATATTATATTCCTTTTGTTATAGATTGTCCTAATGGCAGGTAAAGCAATAAAATGATTTAAATTCTTAAATGCAATCAGTCTCTCTTTTTTTTTTTCCTACCCCCCCCCCAATATTGTGTTTTCCTTTGGCCTTAGAGGATACAATATTAATGAGGCAGTAGAAACTAAGAAGCTTAATGGATTAGCTCTGTGTGAACTCTGGAGGCTTGAGTTCAAGTCCTAGCTTACAGCACAACTGAATCTTCCCCTCCGGAGCCTGTGGGGGAGCTCGGTCTCCACGAGCCAACCTGTGCCTGTGACCCGGGAACTTCTCTGGAGGTCTGGCACTGGGTGCACGTGACTGCTTTCGAAGTGAGAAGGTACCTGCGTCTTGCTCGAGTGTCTCTTAGCAACTCATGCTGCTTTGATCCCTTGTTAAGGTTGTTAATTCCCGGCTCAGCCGCTGTTATTGGAGCTCATAAGCTTCTATAAGTTGTCTGCTCCCATCTATGCATACCCTTAATGAAAGTTTTGAACATGTGATGATAAATCATGAATGAATTCTGGTGGACAGACAGCGAGAAATAGAAGAGGGGGATTTTCACACTACCATGAAGTAGGAAAAAATTTGAAGAGTGGTGACTTGAAGTGGCTCAGACTGGACATGTTTTACATCCAGCTCTGAGAAAGCTATCACCCAACTTTGAAGATACATTAAAAAGCTACCATGTAAAGGAGAATAAAAACAAGAAAGCAACCTTGCAAGCCCTGTTAGTGTACCAGCCATTTGAATATCCGTGGGTTTGTTTCCTTCATCCTACCCTCCCTTTCCCCCATCCCCTTGACCAAAAAAAAAAAAAAGGCTGAAAACTTTTTTATTACCTAAAATGAAACTTTAAAATTTCCACTTCCAACCTTATAAATTCACTTTTAAACTTATCTTCCGTTGCCATGTTCTTCCTGTTCAAGCAGCCAACAGTAAGGATTCCGTGACACTGACCAAATTAATTTTGGGCTTGTCACGTGTGGTAAGCACACAAAAAGTCACCGGTAGAGGGAGATACAACTTTGGGAATACAGCGTCTGTACTGAAATAACGGCCGCACCGTGCATGCCAAGAGTGAGTTAAATAATTTTATTTTCATCTGTTCTCTGTCCACAAGAGTAAAAAGGTCTGTTAGCTCACCGACGTTGAGAATTCTGTTTGATTGAGACTGTCTAAAACCTTGCTTTCGTGAAAGCTGGAAATGGAAGGACGTGGCTGAATCACAAGTCGGGAGACTAAAGGACCGTGCTGTGGGTTGGTGTGGTTTTTTTTTTTTTGGTTGGTTGGGTTTGTGTGGGGTTTTTTTGCTAATCCTTGTGGCTTTAGAATATTGGAGGAATCCCTTTGCTAAGTAGAAACACTCCATACTTCTTCATGCAAATAAATAGAATAGGCACCTGTAGGGACATACTCAAATTACGACCACAGCCTGTTCTGTAGTTTTATAGTGTGGAGAACGTGTATTGTAGAATTATTGTGGAGTTGAATTAAATGTCAGCACAGTCCCCTGTGAAAAATGATAGCTGTGGCCAAACAAGCTTTGTTCCTTCCTTGCGTGATCCAGGCACTTAGTGCCAGCGTCACCGAGTTCCCTTTAGGTTGGGCAGGATTCCAGCCCATGAGAAGATGAGCCAGTGGTAGGTGCAGCAGCTTGCTGAGAACCTGGTAACAACTGCTGCCTGACAACATTTGTACTATGGTTTTAGGATTCTCCTCTGAAAGGTCTGCAGTGCTGTAGATGGTTTTTGTTTAACTTAAAGGTTAGTTTAGAATGAGCTTCTAGTAGATTGGTTGTGGTGGTTTTTTTTTTTTCCCCCTTAAGGATGATAAATTGTCAACAAAGTTCTCGACCACTTTCCCTAGGCTGCCAAGAAGCTCAGTGCAATCGTTCTTGAACAGTTAAAGGAAAAAGCTATTAAAGAGAGCTTCAGTAATCAAACCATTCTTAAGCCTTGTCCTTGAGAGGCAAGGGGAAAACTACAAATTCAGAGATCTCCAAAAACTCCCTTCTCACTTTTTTTTTCTTTTTTGGTCTCCAGTTCCTATTGCACCTCCTCAAAATGCACAGAGCTGGTGAGGGTGTACCATTTCTGTTTTCCAGGGACTTCTGACAACTTAAGTGATTTTAAAGCTATGAGAAGTGAGAAGATGACCTGAGATAGATCCCCCACTTTGGCAAAATGTTTTCACCAGAAGTGGGCGGCTTCCTGGATCGTGAATACAGTCCTATGCCTCCGAGCAGTTTGGTTTGGTGGCTTGTTTTGGTGTTTTGTTTTGTTTTTTTTTTTTTGTTGGGGTCAAAGGCAACACATACCTGCCCTTCTCTTACAACCCAGACTGGCTCTTCCACCCATGAGGCAGGTAAAAGTAGAAGTGGTTTTACTGCCCTGTGAGGCAGTGGGCTTTTGAGCGATGTGCAGAGATCAAAGTGGAGTGGGTTGATCACTGTTGAAGAGACCAAGAGGCGACAGACAGGCTTGATGGTGAATACTGGGCAGTGCTCTTCAGTCTGACCACGCTGAATCGACATGTTGTCTTGTCTCAGTGGCAGGTACTGCCCTTGTGAAGTAAGATTGCTCTTTTCTCAAATACACAGTCTTGATTACAGAACAGAGACTTAATAAGACGAAAATGCTCGTGGCATCTCTTTATTCAAGCCTCATCCTTGGGTCTAGTTTGTGTCCTTCACTAGCAAGACCGAGATCCCGTGCGGGTTGAGCAAACCAATGGCCATGTGTTCCCCCGCCCTCCCAAGGGCATGACCAACTACAGAACAGGAGATCGCTCCTTTTCCACCAGAGAGCTGGTGTTCAGGGTGTAAAGGTCTGCTACAGTCAGACCACAACTTACCAACACACTGGCCAAGCACAGAAGCTTTGGTTGAGTACCCAGCATAGAAGCCCAGTGTGATTCTTGAAGATCTGAAGAGTTTCTCGTCTCAGTCTCCACAAGTGTTTGTAGATGGAAATTACCAGCTATTAAAACACTTGCCTTGCAGGGGTTTTCCCCACCTCTGAGCATGGGTTAAAGACTGTTTAAGTGGTCAGCTTCACTTTGTCAGATGCAGGAGCCTCGGGCTGCGTCGTGTCGTTGGCCACCACCTTGACTTCTCCATACGTGTCTATGCATTTCCTCACAGCTTTCAGGATAAGCTGTAACCGTCTGTCTAAAGCCAAGAGATGGGGTTCGGTGAGGACAGGTGCCAGGAGGTCCTGCAGGAGAGATTCCCTCATCACGTCGCTGAGCCGATATTCGGGCTCGGCCAAGAGCTGGAGTCGTAATAACGTTGTCCTCTTTATTCTGGAAAAAAAGAAATCAGACATCTTAATGCGAACTTCTCGCTGCGTCCTAGCAAGCCCCAGCTGTCTGAGCCCCTGGGTAGTAGGGGAAGGAGGGAGGGCAGAGATGGGTGAAGATACTTGACAAAGTACTGTGGAACAAAAGCTTTCCCTTTCTGAAGGAAATGAAATTTTTTTTTGCAGAAACCTCTGCTGCTTTCTTTGTTTTTCCAGACTGCAGAGTATTTGTACTGCAGACTTCTGTCATCAGAGAGAAAAACATGATAGAAGGTCTCAGTAATGAGTGTTTTTCCTCTGAGTCAAGAGATGACCCAGTTCTCCAGATTACTGCAGAGTGGTGCCATGTTCCCAAGGATGACATTTATGGGGTGGGGGCAGAGGGGGAGGTAAAAGGAAAAGGTGTGAATGAGAAAAAAATTCTTCTGTCAAAACTCTGAGCAAAAAGAGGGAACATTTCCTGGAACTAATTTAACTGTGACTTTTCACCTTAAGAGGTACTGAGACTTAAATATTATTTCCCTTTGACAGAAAGTGGGATGAAAAGCTATAATCTTGGAACACTTCTGGGAACGAAACTAAATATTCTGAAATCATTTGTTTAATCCTCAGCAAAAGTGTTTTGACTTCAGCATCTCTAACACTGAAATTAATCAGTGGTTTTAATTATTGCCCTTTAAATTTTGGTAACAAAGTAGATCGTGTTTGTGGAGCCATTCCTATTTAACTGAGCCAGAATTTTCAGATGGAAAAAGGTGTAGTCAGAAACATTTTTAACCAGCTCCAGAACTTGCCTTTGTATGCCTGTTATTTACCCAGGGCATCCATCTGGCTCTCTGCAACTCTTAACGGGACACATGCTGTTCAGATGCCAGGGGAAAGGCTTGTTGCTGCTGCTCTGCCTGGCCGAGCAGTGGCTGACTTGCACCAGGTGCTCGTAGTGCTCTGGAGCAGCCAAGCGAGGTGGTGTGTCTTTGGTCAGTGATGCCTGTTGGGTTGCACAAGGGAGGGAGAAAGGTGCTGCGACCGGCTGCCTCCTGCGCAGTGCTGGCACGGGGGCAGGTGACTTAAACTGCGGCTGTTGTCCCGGCTGCCCGCTGCCAGGCTTGCCTTAATATTCCTGCAAAAAATAATCAATTGATAAAGTGCTGAGGCTGGCAACGAGGCTTTAAATCACTGCCGGAGCATGGCTGTGAGGTTCTGCTGCTGCCAGAGAAAGCCTTATGCAGAGCAGATGTGAACTGCAGCAAACGAGCGTGCCTGCACTCTCCTTCTAGGCAAGGGGTGACTCTGAGGAGCCGCTGTGGGTAAACACCAGCTGTGTTTGCTCTCGTCTGAGCAGTGACGGGGCTTGGAGGTGGAGAACGGGATAGTCTGACCCTGTGGGGAATGGCTTATTTAATGCCGTAACAGTTACATAAGAAACGGGCAGAATATGGAAAGGAGCACGAGATGGAAATCCTGCCACCGGCCCTGCTCCTCGCCCACAGGGCAGCTGTAACCTCGCTGTTGTACTGAATTCCTGAAGATTTGAACCAGAGCCTTCTAGGGACTTCATCAGCCAAGAAGATCCATGAGCCGGGTTAACTGCGGGCTGTTTTCAGGCCTGTCTGTTCCTCGCTGAGGGTTTTGATCCTTTCAGGAAAAGGACCATCTCTTACTGCATGGCTGTATTTGTGCCATTTACTGTACTCAGAGCAATGCCGGGAGAGGAGAGCAGCAGACTTCAACGTGTGGGACAAGGACTGGTGTGGGAGCTGTGAAAGGTAGCTAGAAATACCAGAAGACTTAAATCTGCTGGAAGCCAAACTTAGAGAAGAACTCAACCGGGAATGAGATGAATGTGTTTAACAGGGAAGCAAGCGGCCTGTTATTCAGCATCCCTGTGGTTTGAGTGGTCCCTCTTGTCCGGCGGGGCTGGAGGACTTTGTTCCTACTTAGGTGTCCACGGCTTGACTTCACGTAGGAACAAGGAGGTGACTCGGTGGGCTGAGTCCAGATAGTTGGTCAGGGCAGGCTGAAATCTGTGGCCTCTGTACTTACTCAAGGAAAACTTTTTCTTTCCTTTCCAAGTGTTTTTGGATGCTCCTCCACTCCGAATGGATTGGTGGCTGTGGGAAATGAAGTTCTGTGTATCTCTCTCAGGCAGCATGAGTTGCTTTTATGCTGTTCTTGGCCCTAGTTGGCTTATTACAAGGTGCGACTTGCAGGTCTTCTTACCACTGTCTTTTACAAGGAGAACTAAATTAAGAAGAGCTTCTGGGAGGTGGATCTGGAAGAACAGGAAGGATCTGACCTGTGGATCTTACTGTATACAGGTCAAATTAAGAGGCAGAGTTAATTTGAACTGCACTAAATAGGAGTTCGTGAGAAGGATTCGCTGTGAGCCCACAATTATAAATGAAAAGGCTCACTGGGTGCAAATAACAGTTCTTAAAATGAGATCCAGTAATACAAGTGTATGGGGAGAGAGTGCAGTTAACACCCCTACGCTGAGATGGAGCAGGTACAGCGAGGAAATAGG